CAATTAATTATAATCATTTTTGGGTCCTGAGAATGCTTGAAGCCTATATTAGATGATAGCTCTCCACCTAGGCATAATGCAGGAATAGGCAGAGGCCAGGATCTGTGTGTATTAATCTTTTTTCTCAAGGGAAAGAGTATGAACACAGGCTAGGTGCACTCTACGCCACAGAATGTCCCTGGGCACATTTCATTTGCCAACACAGGCAAATTGCCTAATCAGGATGCCTAGAAGAATTCCTGCCTCCTCCCCAGTGGAATATCCAGCTTCTTGTTAAGAACAGGACCTACCCCATTCTCCATTCACAGGAAGCTGTGCAAATTCTGTTGTAAAATAAATGGTGTTTCCAAGCCTTGCTGGGAGAATTCACCACATGGTGAAACCAAAATATGATTCCCATCTTCCACTCCTTTATCAGTATACCTCATTAAGATTCTTCTTACATCCTTTGGTATTCTTTCAGTGCCTGCCAAAGACAATTGCAATTCAGAATGTCAGAAAGATGGCTTACACTTGAAAACACTGAACAAAAATGCAAACTAATAAAAAAGCAGAATAAATTTCTGAACATTATATTAGCCTGCCAAATTAATTCTGTATTAAACAGAAAAAAAAAAAATCTATGAGAGCAAGTTAAAAACACTGTCATCTAGTACTAGAGAACTTTTTTTCAATATTTCATCATTATCATCATCATCATCATCATAACTGCTTCTCTAGTCGTTATTCTGTTTCAAGTATGGTACATGTTCAAGCTATGCACAGCTCACAGTGCTTATCTGTTTTGGACAGTACTTAGGACAGAGCAACAAGAATCAATGCAGTTCTGAGTTCCACAGCACGAAACACTGACCAAAAAGGTAGCCTGTGCTACCTTTCACACACAAGAAGGTTTGGGGTATAAATTTGGGCCTGTAAAGCCAAGGAGGCAGTCATTTTGAGGTGAGAAATGTTTTGAAAAACTTAAAAAAAGTGATATGCAGGAATAAAAATGAAATTTTGCTGCTTGGGACTTAGCTACTCTGGCTGTAAGAAGATTCCAGTGTCTGCTCTGAATTCAGTATCTGGCATGTTCTCCTAAGACAGGTGTTTACATCCTTTCTTTCAAAGCAGGAAGCAGACTTCTAAAATATGATACTGAGTGATATGGCATAGATATTTTTCCCTATAGTTGTCATATAGAAACAGACCTGGGAGCAATCTCCATTTCATCTTCATCCCTAGATGTATGTCTTGACTCCTCCACTATACAATTTTGCTTTTTCTTTTGCAATTTTGCTTTTTCAATGGAATCTTCTGTCCTTCAATGGCACAATGGCTCACCTTATCTGGAGGGTGTTTCTGGCTAGAACAGTCTCTGTCACTTGCCAGACTTTCTTTCAATATTTCTTTCAATATTTTTTCGCTAGAATTTCCCAGCACACTAAATATTTTATTCCGTGATTGAGATATTTCAAGGTTTATTTGTATAATAATAGGATAGCAATAATAACAATATGCATTTTCATATTAACTTTTCTTGTCTTTAAATAATCCTACTGTGCAGCACTGCCTTGAAAATCACAGTTTTCTAAGTAATTTACATTAAAACCTTCCCCTAATTATAACCCTCCTTTTTAAAAAAAAATGCTTAAACAAGAGTGAGGGGAAAAAAATATAACAATTTTCAGCTATTCTGTCTCAAATTACATGCTTTTCTACTTTAAATGGTGGGGGGAAGAAAGGCGAGGGGAAATGGGGGGAGAGGTGGGGAGAGGCGGGGAAAGGGGGAGGTAAAATTGTGTTGAACTTGCTTCAGAGCATTAAGCATGAAATAATCTAAGTAATCCCTAGCAACTCTGGAGGGAGAAAAGAGAACCATAGTATGAATTTTTGAGACTTTCAGGGGGAATTGCCCCCTGCTAGGACACCATCAGTGAAGTGGTACTGTACGAAGCAGAGAATTTTAACTTTAGTGAAAACTTCTCCTTCTGCACAACTCAGGCTTTTACATAGCTGGGCTGCCCACCAATCTAGCATATTTAAACAGTACCTCTTTCTCCACTATCTGTGCACAAACTGCAACCCTGGGTAGGAGTATCTGTTACACAGCTGTTCGCTGGTAAGGACAACAGCAAGGTTGTATGCATTTCAACTACAGAAAGCACACAACACTGCTGGGATTGGGCTCAAAACCTGATCTGAGTGTGGAGACCATATATTTCATCAACATTTATCTCTAAATTAGCTTCCTCAAAAAAAAAAAAAAAAAAGTAGAATTTTTACTTCCTTGAGAATTATTACTGATCTGCACTAGAGGTGCCCAGTGGCTTACCTAGCAACATCTATTCTTATGCTAACTAGACTATCTGGCCTGTCACTCACTACTTTGTACTAATGACTATTATGACTATCAAATGTCCTGTGGAATAAAAATGAAGAGAGGAAGTGAGCAGTGGGGTATAATCCAGAGACCAAAACCTAGGGTAATCCAAAGGCAGAATGATCCCAATTGGAAATGTGCAGAATCAACAGAAGGCAAATCTACAAATGAGCCCTGTTCGTAGGAGCAACTGTTCATCTAGTGTCTCAAACAATATTTGCTAACATAGTGAAACTCTGAGTTTGGGTCATTGGTCATTGGGTCAGATGAGGAGGACTTCAGTGAGTGACAAACTCTAAGAGGGGAAAAAATCGTGCAGAATGAAAACCTGCACAGTTCCCACTGGTTGTTTAAAAGCTGTTTCCCACAAGACAGCAAAGAGTAGGGACCAGGGCAGGCAGGAGTGGTATCACAGAGATAAATTATATGTTTTACCTTGCTCTCCCATATGTCAGAAAAATCCTCCAACCTGCACTTTTTTTTTTTTTCTCTCTAGGAACATCTTCCTTGCAACATAGAATATGACTGGATTATTAATACAGGAGAGCATTTACAGAATACTTCTGGTAAATTCTGAATTCTGTCTGGAAAATTCATTGTGCGTAATCATACCAACATCTGTCCTGGAAAGTTAGTGCTCTAATGGAAAACTTATATACCAGCTAGGAATATAATGCCAACTAGGAAGGTTATTAATTTTACTATTAGTTCAGATAATTTCCAGAAATTGATCACTTTATACTGCTGAATATTGAAAGTAACATTGTTCCATTGGAAAGGTTAACCTCATTTTCGTATCTAAATGTGAGAAATTGTCTGAAAATAAAGGATGTTTGGTCTCTTTTCAGAACAATGGGGAAAAGATCAGACAGAACCAGTGGTTCTGAGCACTGTTGCTTTGAGTTCACCTAGGCACAAAAAAAGAATAGAGCTCTGATCCTTAGGATAACGTTCTGAAAGAAAATCCCGCTGGGCATTTCTGGGAATGCAAAGCTAATGGAAAGTTGGACTAGCTAGCTATCTTCATTGTGCCCTGGCAATGTGTTTTAGAGATCAAAATTGAAAACATTTTGCTGAGTCAGGTTTGACACACTGTCAATAAGCTGTGATTACCTTATAGAGGCCAGGTGAGCTGCAAATTTAAAAAAGGAAGAAGAAAGTGGCACACAATCTGGTAAAAATACAGAATCAAGACCTATGCATTTCCAACAGCAGGGAATGTACAAAATTATGCAGTGCTGATGTTGTGCTGAGAATCTGCAAATAGAATTACTGGTTTGAATCTACAGGGGAGTTCAGAGAAGCTATGCTTATTATCCAAATATGCATACATGCAATAAAAATTCTCTTTTCAATATAAAGAGAGAATATGTAAACAAATTATCTTCAAGTCACTACTTAATAACAGCTGAGGGACTATCCTGATTTACTTTTTTTCCCCACAGGCCCTTTAAAATATTGTAATTAAAAAATACCAAATAAGGACACTAGGAGACTAAATAAAATTACTAAATCACATGAATAAGAAAGCACTGCAATATATATATTTTCTTAAATTACTATTTATCCTTGTAACTTCTAATTTCAATTCATTCTTTAGTTGTACCACTCTTAGAACCACTTTTTGCCTACTGCTATTATCATAATGCTTCTTAATACAAATAAGTAGACACACTATAGTATGCATATACTGGTACTAATATATTATGCATAGTTTTTACTATATTTCATCATATAAATATAGGAGTGTTTTCTGCCCAGTGGTCCCACAAACAGTTGCTAGAGAATCTCTGTGTATATTTTAAAATGAGCTGACACACAAACATCAAATATCATGAGCAGGTTTCATTGGTGCATATCAACACAGTTAGGTCACATATTAAGACAGTAACAACAGAAATTTCAGAAGGTGATATGGAGGACCAGGGAGAGATTAATATATGCAGTAAGAAAGTGAAGAAGAAAAACTTACTAATGGTGTACTAAACAGCATGTTTTAAAAATAAATTGTGGTGATGAATAATATGTATGTCTTTATTTTGAAGATTTTTCAGGCTATACTACTCTATACACCTTTTCTATTTTGTTTTGTGTTTGTAGCTTACTTACTGACCAAAGGAAGTAAAGCTGATGATCACACAGAAACAGGTAAAGCAGCACCAAAGGCAAGCATATCCTGTTCAAGACTTAGCTCATTGTTTCCCTGGTGCATCTCAGCCCCAAATAGGATCAACCTTACCATTAAAGAGAAAAGTCTTTCCAACATCGTGACTGGCATGCAATGTACTGACCCCATCATTTAGGCAAGCTGCAATGCCCAAATCTCAATTAGCTCTTTAAAGCTCTCCCTTCCTTACTGCTGAAATACAGCAACAGTCTGCCAGCAGGTTCTCATCTACTTTCATTATTGGTCATGACATGTTGCTGAAATGCCTAAACAAATCTCGTTCTTCACTACAGTGAAGAAGCACTGCTGCAGTTTTAACAGTTTCCATGTTTTGCCTTGGAACGGACCACACTGACATGTTTTAAAGGAATAAAGCTGTTTGTACCATACACATAATGATGGAAGTAAAGAAAGAGACATCATACTCCTTACCTAATTTGAGGCAAACAGCAACACACAGAGAAGGGAAGCTTCTTCAGAGCAGTGCTCAATGTATGGCAAGCCAATAGCCCCTCTTCACCACCACCACCAAGGCAACAGCCAGAGGGAACCATGTTTACAGCACAAGGAGCCAAAAAAAAGCCAGGCAAAGTGTCATTTTCCTTTGATACAGTGCAAATAAAAAGAGCACAAAAAAGAGAGATTTATTCATGCAGCTCGAAACAACTGTCCCTCTCTGCTCAGTGACCCCACCAGATGGGTCACCTTGCACAGAGGCTTACAGTCCATGCCCGCAGAGCTCCCAAGAGCCCTAATTCCACTGCTATGAGGGTGGGAGAAGAGCAGAAAGGAAATTATGGGTACAGGTTTGCTCCCTTACTTCCCACCTTCTCTCCTTTCCGTGGCCCTTCACTTCAGATTTGCCATCAGCTAAGCCCACTCATGGTTGTGCCTCATCCTAGCTAACTCCCTCTGAAAAATGCACAATCCTCTATTCCACAATTTTTCCTTTTACCTTGTCTGTGTATAGGAGAAGATTATTGTAGCATAGTTTATAAAGTACTTGGAGATGAATAGTGTTATATAACTGGTAGTTACTGCCTTTTCATTTTTAGCATGATGGATAACTACAATGTGAATGCAGTCTTCCCTTGAGGCCTGGCAGTGCAAAATAAACTCAGTGACCCAAAAGAATATTCAGCTCAGCTTTCCTAAGGAGGAAGATATGGTCCATTAGTAGGTAGCTGCTGGAAAGTGCAGTTACATTTTTATTCAGGCCAAAGCTGCAATTCTTTGCAAACTGCTGCAGACACTACCATTACGCGCTCGGAATGGGTCATACCGGGAAGGCAGTCCTCATGCCGTAATAGCATTCTTTTGGCTAAAAGAATCTGGTGCTCTGATTCCAGTGTCTTGCAGCACCACTTATTTTTAGGCTCACAAAACATTTCAGGCACCTAACTGTTTCCACCAAAATCCAGTGGGAACTGATGGGTCTAAATTTTCAATAGGGCACATAGTTCATCTTTAAGTACCACTCTCAACAATGCATCTAAAACACATGCTGAATGACACTTCACTTCAGGATGTGCTGAAGCTCTAAGTACAAGCTAAATGCTTTGCTGAACTGTGATCTAACCATGTTTCTGGTCCTATCACTCAGTGTCTGGCAGCAAATTCATTAGAAAGCAAATCCTTTACTGTCTTATAAGACAACAGAAATTATGAATCCTTGTAGAGAAGTTGTAAAAGCTGAGTTCAAACTGCACTTGACAGCTATAAGAAAGCCAAGCCAAACAAATGTATTTAATCATATTTTGAGAATAATTATTTTCTTTCTATTGCAAAGAAGTTATTTGTTTATTATGGAAAAAAAATGTTCAAATGAAAGGCTGGCGAATGATTTGACAAGCTTAAATACAAGCCTGTGGAGATAATGGGGTATTTTGCTCTCACAGACTTGGACCTTGATTGAACAGAGATCTCATTCTTCCTGCTCGGACAAATCCTCACCCCAGCTTCAGCAAAGTGCTAACAGAGCTGAACTTTGGAACTGACTTTTGCCAGCTGGTTGCAGTGGAAGGTTAAGGGCCTCCAGAACCTCTCAAGACCTAGTTTTGCAGTATGTCTGCAAATACAGAGTAAAGTTCAACAAGCAGATATAACAATTCAACAGTTCACTGACAGTGAAAACGGAAGATTTCCTGGCTCCACTGCTTGCTCGCCTCCCTGCACCACAGACCTTTTCCTACCATCATCCTTCCACTAGCTCTTACACTTGCTTTCTGTGAGACAATTATTCAACCCACTAACATGACAAAAAAATCTCTACTTTGTTGTTGTTGTTGGGTTAGCTTTTCTGCCGGATTAATGAGCTCAAGCACCTCTTGAAGCGGAAGTCAGTACCTGCATGAGTACTTACACAGGGACAGACCAATCCAGGGTAAGCAACAGAAAGAAACAGAAGACTGAAAGGGAAAGAGATCAAGTAGACCTCCCCCCTTCCATTCCCAATGGGTCTTTAAGATCAGCTCCACCCACTCTCCATAAGCCTCAACTTCTCTCTCCTATGTTAGTTTTACGCCAGTGTTACTCCACTAGTTGCAATAATTACTACGACATATCATTTTCTTTGTGTTAATATTCAGAGGCCCTGGCCACATACAGGTTTCCACTGTTATGTTTCCTGCTCTGAAGCACTGACAGTCTAATTCAGCACACTGCACAGCTGGGAGAGTAATAAGTGATCAGGAGGTGATCAGGATAGGTCAAGAAGGGGAAAAGTAAAAGTTACACGAACACAGGCAAAGCTAGGCTCTGCAAGCCTGGCTGAATCATTTGGGACTGATTCAGCTGTTAGATGGCTTTAATCAGCTAAAGTCAATTAAACTAAATTGCCTGATTTAAAAAAAAAAAAAGTCACTCTAATTCTATCAGTCTGGATTTCTAGATCTGCACAATGCACTATTTCTTTACTTCATTTTACATTTATCCTCACAAAATGGCTAATTCTGCGCTTCATCTTGAGGCAAAATCTCCCCTTAAACCAAAGAGGAGATCTAGAGGGCTGCAAGACTTGTTCGTTAGTCCAGTTGTGATTTTTCAGCATATTACGACATTAATACCCATCTAAATAAGAAAAAAGTAGCCATGAAAACCAACATCTACAATTAACGTGAAGAATTCTGCATTGTTGTCCACGCAAGCTTTAAACTGAGCTCTGTGTGACCATTCTTCTCTGTATGATGCATAAAAAATCTACTTGCCCAGTACTTACTATGATGTTTTACTGAATAGTAAAGAAAAATATCTTTCATTCTTCCATTATTATTATTGAAAGTCATGGTAAAAGACCGGTAACCAGGATCTGTGTCTGGGCTATAGAATACAGGAGAATTTTGCAAAGCTGATTTAAAATTACTACAGTGCATATATATCTCATATTTTGTCTATATTTCATTTCATACCTTGCATAAATTATAATCATGGCCTACTGTTTACTTAAGGATATTAGAAAAATAGATAAAAACAAACCTTGAGTGCTGATAGACAAGACCACTTTCTAGCAGATCATTCTTGCTGTGCCACAGTACTTGGTAAAGGCAGGAAATAACCTTCGTCAACACAAGGGAAGTTTGAGGAAAACAAAAAATGAGAGAGAGATGTCCTTTGGGAAAAAAAAAAAAAAAAGGATAATACATCTTTTTCGTTTTTTAGAAGCAACTTTGTGTTACTCTTGATTTGGAATCTGCACAGTTCTGTGTTATCATGATGATTTGCCATTTATCTTTTTGGAACATTTTAACTGTAAAATCCACAGCAATGAAAAGATTTGGCTTGGGAATAAAAGAAAATAAAGACATGCAACGATGAGAGGTGATATTTTCCATGTCAGTAAAAGATATAACCCACAGCAGAGCATGTTAAGACTCTTAAAAGTGTCATCCGTTCCCAGACTACGATAATTAAAAACAGTGAACTGTGTAAACAAATAGCATGATTTCAAAGAGGTGTATAATACATATGCCAAAGCAATCTGAACTGTACAACAACAGAAATTGCAGATATTGAACTCATAATTAGCTTTCAGATTATATCTATTCACCCCCTGATTTTTTTTTTTTTTAATCTGTGGTGCACTTGGATCAAAATTAGTGATGTAAGACAAGAAACTTTTTCTTTCAGTCTCAAAAATTTACTGAAACTGTTTTCAAAACTGTAAATTTGAAAAAAGAAAAAAAAATTAAAAGTTGCACATACTTTTCTCAGAGAGAAACCACTGGACGGAATTATTTAAAAATTTTGAAACAGTAGCATCATAAAATTATTTTAACATAAGTATACTTACAATATTTAATACTTTAATATTTAATAATTTAATTCAATAAGTATATTTACAATATTTAATAATTTAAGGCTCACAAGAAACTAACATCTCATTGACAACTAAGGTTTTCTTCCATAAGGTTAAAAGCACCAAATTCACTTCACATACTAAATAACCAGATCTGTACTGATCACAAGTGGAAAATTCTGGAAGTGCTTATAGGCTAATGCTTCTAGTGTTCTAGTGAAGTCCTATTTCACAAGGATAAGAAATCCCCTTTCACACATAAATAGTTATACAAATATAAAATATTTTGGAATAATTTCAGTTTGAAACTACAGTACAAAAATCTCAATCTCGCCCCCCTCCCCCCCCGCTTAAGTCCATTCACTCTCCACACATGCCCCCAGCTCTTTAATACTAAATTTGGAGCAAATAAAATGGTTATGACTCATTTAAAATAAACCATTTCTAAAATAAATTACTACAAATTAGGTTTGTATTGTTATAATTTACCCACTCTTGCATCATGGAGTGTTGATTATTATTAGTCTATTTTAAAAATAGGTGACCCTTTGTGTCATGGAAAAAGAATATAAAAACATTTATTCCTGAAGGTCTGCTCAGGAAAGTTATCAATTTATAAAATATAGCCTGATTTAAAATGGTGGTACTAAAGAATAATATTAGTTTTAAGGTTTGACACCAGCAAATACTTCTGCATGTCTCAACTTATTCTCCTTTCTTTACAAGTCTGTTTCTCTATTAGCATCCAAACAGAAAGTATAGAGAGATTTTCTGAGATCTACATTACTTTTAGCTTTGATACTCGTTTTCTCTAACGAATTTGTACCATTGTTGAACCCCTCACTGTTTTCCAAGTGCACAACAGATTTGTTCAATGAGTTTTTACTGGATCTTCTTTTTGCATCTCCCCCAGCTGTGCTACTCTGAGCACTGTTGTGTTCATCCTTGAGAACAGCTTGCTCTTCATGATCAGTTTCACGGTGGTAGAAGTAGTTGAAGTTGGATACAATGACAGGGACAGGTAGGGCGATGGTGAGCACGCCAGCAATGGCACACAAAGAACCTACAATCTTGCCCCCCACAGTGACAGGTCGCATGTCTCCATAGCCTACAGTGGTCATGGTCACTACTGCCCACCAAAAAGCATCAGGGATGCTGGAGAAATGAGACTCAGGGTCATCAGCCTCAGCAAAATAGACAGCACTGGAGAAGAGGATCACCCCAATGAAGAGGAAGAAGATGAGGAGGCCCAGTTCCCTCATGCTGGCTTTCAAAGTCTGTCCCAAGATCTGCAGTCCCTTGGAGTGCCTGGAGAGCTTGAAGATCCTGAAAACTCTGACAAGACGAATGACTCTAAGGATGGCCAAGGACATGGCTTGCTGCTGGCCACTCCCTCCATTGCTACTGCTAGTCCCTGGCTGCTGCTGCTCATGCGCAAGCTCAGTCCCCAGGGTAATGAAGTAGGGGATAATTGCAACAATGTCAATAATGTTCATGATATTGCGGGAAAACTCAGGCTTGCTGGGGCAGGCGAAGAAGCGAACAAGTAATTCAAAGGTAAACCAGATCACACAGGTGGTCTCAATGATGAAGAAGGGGTCAGAGAGGCTGCTGGGTGACTGCACAGGTGGGGAGTCGCCGAGTGTGCCATTCAAGCCTCCATTTTGTGGAGGCAAGGGCATGGGCATCTCCCTCTCGTCCCTGAATTCTGGCAGGGTCTCCAGACAGAAGGTGATGATGGAAATGAGGATCACCAACACAGAGACAATGGCAATGGCCCGGGCTGAGCTGGAGCTCTCAGGGTACTCAAAGATGAGCCAGACCTGGCGCTGGAACTCATTGCAGGGCAGGGGCTTCTCCTCCTCCTTGATGAAGCCCTCATCCTCCCGAAAACGCTCCATGGCCTCCTCACCCAGTTGGTAGAAGCGGATCTCATCAGCAAATACATCAATGGAGACGTTGACAGGCCGTCGGAGCTTGCCCCCAGACTGGTAGAAGTAAAGGATCCCATCAAAGCTCGGCCGGTTCCGGTCAAAGAAGTACTCATTGCGAAGTGGGTCAAAGTAATGCATGCGCTTATCCGGGTCACCCAGAAGCGTGTCAGGGAACTGGTTGAGGGTACCTAGCTGTGTCTCAAAGCGCAGCCCCGAGATGTTGATCAGCACCCGCTGGTGATGCATGGCGCCCCGGCTCACAATTCTCTCCTCCTCTTGCTCCTCGTTCTCCTCCTCCTCTCCGGCCGCCGCCATGGCCATGCCCAGACGATGTCCACCTTCCTCCGGGGAGCCCATCTCGGCCGCGCCGGGGCACAGGCCGCGCGATGGCTGCCGCGGAGCGGGAGGAGGTGGCGGGATACCGCGCAGCGCCCGCCCGTCGGGGCCGTCTCCGCGAGGAGCGGACGGTGGCCGCTGCCGCTCCTCGTCGGCCGCCGGCGGCGAGGCGCCCTCCTTGCTGTCGCTCAGGCGCGATGCGGCGGCGCTGGCGATGCGGAGCAGGTCGCCGCGGCGGCGAATCCGGGTGCTGCTGCCGCCGCCGCCGGCCACAGCATCCTCGCCGGCCGCGATGGCTGTGGCGCCGCCGTTCTCCAGAGTCACCAGCGCGATCTCCATGGGCAGCGGGAGCGACAGCAGAAGGCGGCGGAGGGCATGCTGCGCTGCGCTGCCCTGCGTGCGCTCCCCGCCCCGCTGTCGCGAGCACCTCGCGCCGGGCGGGCGCCCTCCCCGGCGCGGCGCGTCCCGAGCCGCCTCCGCGCTCGGCGCACGGCGACGCGCGGCCGAGCGGAGCGCACGGGAGCCGCGCGAAGACCCGGATATGGACGCGCGAGCATTTATTAGCGTTTGACGTCAAGGAGGATCCCGGCTCTTCCGCGCCCCCGCTGACAGCAAGCCCGAAATCCCCCGCCTCCGTTCTCCTACCAGGCTGAGGCATCCCGCCCCCCGGACGACCCTCGCAAAGGCTCCGCGCAAACACTCTCTGGGTAGCGGAGCTCCCGTGAGCACCCAGCGCCCCAGCCCGCCAGGAGAGCCTCAGTGCATCCTCAGAGGTGCCGCGGTGGGATTGCGCCAGGAAGAGGGGCGGCCAAAGCCCCGCTGCGATGCACGGTGGCGATGCCGGGTGGGGCACAGGCATCTCTGCGGATGTGCACTGCCACTACCACTCTGCCTTCCCCCCATCCCGCCCCGCAGTCGGGGATCACTGCGTGGCCCCACGCATGGTTAGACGGAATGGGAGGATGCAGGGAGAACTCTGGAGATAACCCCCACTTACCGTTAGTGATAATGAGCCTTAATCGGTGCGGTGCAAGCTCTGGGAATTCAGTGAGCCTCTGCGTTCCTCCTCCACTGCGCCACACAATCGGAAGAAAGAAAGGGTTGGGGTGAGGAGAGGAAGTTTCCTTTCCTTTGTTTTTCTTGCATGCTTGTGATTTTGTTACACCTTCAAAAGAAGCTTCTGAAGACAGGGAAAGAATGTGAAATATGCCCGAAGATATTAAAAACACTGCCAAACTACTCTCCATAATTATATACATATATACTTACGGGGATATCATCATAAGGGAGGGTTTCCCCAGTAATAGAATCATAGAATGCTTAAGGTTGGAAGGGACCTCAGAGGTCATCTAGCCCAACCACCCTGCGCACACATGGTTACCTAGAACACGTGGCACAGGTCTCCATCCAAGCGGATTTTGAAAATCTCCAGAGAAGGAGACTCCAGAACCTCTCTTGGCAGCCTGTTCCAGGGCTCTGTCACCCTCACTGTTAAGAAATTTTTTCTTCAGTTCCTGTGGAACTTCCGATGCTTCAGTTTTTGGCCGTTTCTTCTAGTCTTATTGCTGGCCACCACTGAAAAGAGGCCGACCCCATCCACCTCACTCCCTCCCTTGAGGTATTTATACACTTATATTCTGTAATTTCTCTCTGAGAGCTGAGCATAGAACTGCTGGCTTGTTATGCAGTTATGCAGGTGAATACAGGATCCATTTTACTCACATGAGCAATTCCGAGATGCAAAATTCCAAGTGTATTTTCTAAAGAAGCCCTTTAAAAGCAACGAACATCTGATTTACAAGAACAGTTATTTATCAGGGTAATATATCATACCTGCAAAATGTAGTATAAATATTCTGAGGGACTGGTAAACGCTATAACAGTAAACATGGACACCTATGCCCTCCAACCAATAGCAGCTGCTCTGTTATCAGTGCATCTCAGGGATAATAACCTGAGGAAGACCTTGCATGCTAGAAAATTATTTTCTCTTTTTTTTTCCAGGTTTGTCAGCTGTTCTGAGGTAAGATACTTTCTCTCGAAACCTTTCATTGAATAATCATTAATTTCAAGAGGAAACTTCTCTAGATATGTCCACACTCCTGGAGGTAATGCCAGTCCAGAATTAATAAATTTCACGCCAGGAACTCTGGTGTCCTATCAAGCACTCTGTACTCAGTTAGAGCCTACTCACTGAGCATTTACTCTTTCGTAGTTCAGATATGCAACTGTGCTCTAATTTGCACATTAATATAACCAATAACAGAACACTAAATATGCTAACATCTGTGTCTGCTCCCTCATTTCTGTTTTCTTTTCTTTTTTCTTTTATTCAAGCTCCTCTTCCTGCACATACACCCTTACACATACACCCTTACACATACACCCTTACACCCATCCTCATCATTCCTTCAACAACAAGGGGAGAGAGGCCACATTATGTTATAACCTGTAGCAGCCTTTGTTGGATGTCTGGAAGAGAAAACTTTAGCAGCCCTTGTTGGATGCCCGAAAGAGATGATGCTGAATTCAAATTCTGCTTTGATAAAGAAAGATTTTTAGCTTACTTTCTCAGTGTCATAGGGCAGTGAATGGCTCCGTGGCTGGTATCATTGACACAACTTCTGTTTCTTTGGCAACAGGAAGCCTTACATGGCACCAGACATGATAGCATCCATCTTTCTTAAAGGGGAAAGAGAGCTCTGGATCTTGAGTAGCTAACTTCATCGAGAAGGCTTAAACTAGATTTGAGGGGGGAGGGGGATGTCATCGGGGAAGCAGGTGATAAGGTATGCAATGGCTTCTCGTCTCACTAGCAGCAGCCTAATTCCATAGCCTGTGAAGAGTGTCCTAAGTCTGGAGAGGATAAATGGCAAAATATGAGAACTTCTGAAGGCTCACATAGTCAAGTTATAACTGCCTCCGCTAGAATGAGAGGCACATTAGGAGCCCAACTAAAATGCCTCTGTGTAAACGCATGCAGCATGGGGAGTAAACAAAGGGAATTGGAGATGCATGTGCGATTACAGGGCCTTGATCTCATTACAATTACTGAAACGTGGTGGGACAGCACTCAGGACTGGAATGTACTCATGGATGGCTTTAGGCTTTTCAGGAGGTACAGGCCAGGAAGGTGAGGTGGCGAAATTGCTCTTCATGTGAGAGCAGCTGGAATGTGTGGAGCTCTGCCTAAAGGAGGATGAAGAGCAAGTTCAGAGCCTGTCGGTAAGGACAAAAGGGCAGGTCAACAGGGTGACAGTGCCATGGGAGTTTACTACAGGCGTCATTTCCGGAAAGAGGGAGTGCACTAGCAGCTGCGAGAAATCTCACAATCACAAGCCTTGGTCCTTAGTGGGAACTTCAACCATCCTGATATCTGCTGGGATAACCACACAGCTAGGAACAGACAGTCCAGGAAGTTCCTGCAGAACAATGAAGATAAATTCTGGATCCAGGTGGTTGATGAGCTAATAAGGGAAGAGAAGCTGCTAGATCTGATAACTAACAAACAGAGAAAGTCTAGTGGGAAATGGGAGGGTTAGGGGATGCCTTGGCTGCAGTGACCATGAGATGCTGGAATTCATGATCCTGTGTGGAGGAAGTTGGGCAAGAAGTGAGATTGCAACCCTGCACTTTAGGAAAGCTAACTGTGACCTCTTCAGGGAGCTCCTTGGAGGAATCATCTCGATCTGGCCCCTGGAAGGAAAGGGAGTCTAGGAGAGCTGGCTAACTTTCAAACACCACTTTCTTCAAGCTTATGATTTGTGCATTCCTACAAGAAAGAAGTCGAGCAAGGGAGGCAGGAGACCTGCGTGCTTGGGCAAGAAGCTGTTGGGTAAATTTAATAAGGAAAAGAGCACATACATAATGTAGAAGAAGGGCCAGGCCACATGGCAAGAATAGAGGAAAACTGTAAGAGAATGCAGGGATGCAATGAGAAAGGCCAAGACCCGTCTGGAATTAGAGTTGGCAAGAGATGTCAGTGACAACAGGAAGGGCTTCTATAATTACATTAGCAGTAAGAGGAAGACTAGGGAAAATGCTAGCCCACTAGCATGAATGGGGAGGGTGACTTGGTGACAGAAGATGCAGAGAAGGCAGAGTTACTAAATGCTTTCATTCTTTCTGTCTTTACCACTGAAGTCCAGTACTACAGAGCTTAGATATGAGAGAAATAATAGAGGGTCGCTGGTCAAGGAGGACTGGGTTAGGGATTATTTAGGCAATCTGGATGCACATACGATCTATTTGCCCAGATGGGATGCACGCAGGAGTGCTGAGGGAACTGGTGGGGGTTATTGTTCAGCCACTCTCCATTATCAGAGCCACTCTCCATCAGAGGTCATGGAGAACAAGGAAAGTGCTGGAGGACGGGAAGAAAGCCAACGTCACTGCTTCAAAAAGGGCAAGAGGGAGGAAATGGGAAACTACAGGCTGGTCAGCCCAACCTCCATGCCTGGTAAGGTGATGGAGCGGCTCATCCTGGGGACCATCTCCAGGCATGTGAAGGAGAAGGAGGTGACCAGGAATAGTCAGCACAGATTCACCAAGGGGAAGTCATGTTTGACAAACCTGATAGCCTTCTATGGTGAGTTGACAGGCTGGCTGGAAGATGAGAAAGCCATGGATGTTGTGGATGTTTGCTTGACTTCAGCAAAGCTTTCTACACCGCCTCCCATAATATCCTTATAGGAAAGCTCCAGAAGTAAGGGTTGTATGAGTGGACAGTCAGCTGGATTGAGAATTGCCTGGATGGAAGAGCTCATAGGGTGGTGATAAATGGGGCCTAGTCTAGTGGAGGACTGTGGCCATTAGTGTGCCCCAGGGGTCAGTACCAGGCCCAGTGCCGTTCAACTTATCAATGACGAGGCAACAGAGTGCACTCTCAGCCAGTTTGCGGACTTACTCCATTCCAGAGGGTTGTGCTGTCATTCAGAGGGTCCTAGACAGGTTGGAGAGTTGGGCAGAGCGGAACCTTATGAGGTTCAACACGGACAAATGAAGGGTCCTGCACCTGGGGAGAAGTAATCCCAGGCATCCGTACAGATTAGGGGTTGACCTACTGGAAAGCAGCTCCGTGAAGAGGGATTTGTGAGTCCTGGTTGACAAGTTAACCATGAGTCAGCGGTGTGCCCTTGTGGCCAGGAAGGTCAATGGGATCCTGGTCTGCATGAGGAGGAGTGTTCCCAGAAGATCGAAGGAGGTGATCCTGCCCCTCTCCTCATCTCTGGTGAGGCCACACGTGGAGTACTGGGGGCATTTCTGGGCACTCCAGTAGAAGAGGGCCATGGAACTTTTGGAGAGAGTCCAGCATAAGTGACAAAGATGATTAAGGGACTCGAGCATCTATTGTATGAGTAAAGACTAAGTGAGCTGGGCTTGTTTGCCTGAGAGAAGACTGAGGAGATCTGATTAATATGAATAAGTACCTGAGGGGAGAATGTAGGGAGGATGGAGCCAAACCTTTCTTGGTGGTGCTCAGTGATGGACAAGGGGTAATGCGTACAAGTTGAAATACAGGCAGTTCCATCTCCGTGTGAGGAAGAACTTCTTTACTGTGAGGGTGACAGGGCCCTGGAACAGGCTGCCCAGATAGGTTGTTCTCTGGAGGTCTTCCAAACCCACCTAGCTGCGACACTGTGTCACGTTCTGTAGGTGTCCCTTCTTGAGAAGGGGTGTTGGACTAGATGATCGCTAGAGGTCTCTTCCAATCTTAACCATTCTGTGATTCTGCGAATCTGCAGGCAGATGGTATTGTGCTAAATCGCTAAGGTAAGGACTCACAGTCTTGTCAGTGAACATCTTACCAAAAGCCTGATGAGAATAGTATGTATTTGATGTAGCAGTAAATATTTGATGTTCCAGTAAAATGCAGGTACACTGTAAAACAGTAGAAAACTACCTCATCTGCAGCTCTAACAACACTGAGAAATTATGACAATATCTCTCTATAAGTGTGTGGAAGAGAATAGAGAAAGAAGACTCAAGAACAAGTAGGAGGGTGATATTAGAGAGGAAAAAAACTTCTCCAAGCAGGAAAGTTCAAAGTGTAATT